GCTGCTGAGCCTTCTTCATGATAGAGTCAGTGTTCACAGTCCAGGTTAGATCTTTAGAGATGTGAATTCCCAAAAACCTAAAGCTGGTGACTGTTTCCACTTCCGTTCCATCAATACTGAGTGGGCTGTGAGTGTGTGGCCTGTGTCTCCGAAAGTCCACTATGAACCCTGCCTTTTTCCCATTGCTTGCTGAGACAGGTTTCAGCTCCCCCATGAATCATATTGGAAAGAGAGGTTAGAAAATAGATGGATGGATCATCATGACCATTATTATTAATATCAATGTCATGTGATCATAACAAGGCAGGACGAAGTGAAAATCATCACTGAAATTTTTCAAAACATTTAATTCATTGCAATCATTATTAATATCAACATTGTGTGCTAATAACAAGGCAGGATAAAGTAAAAATTATATCCAAACCAACATGCCTTGGACATATTTTTTTAAATATTAGAGCCATCTAGTTCTACATCATTCTGTATATTTCAGATTTATTTTAGTTTTGGTGTTATGTTATACAGGAGAGCAAACTTAAGCCTCAAACAATGGATGTGAAAGGATGTAAACTGTACCCCAGGAACTGAGGCATGGAAGGCCTGGAAAAAAGTTATGGCTTCCAAAGCTCCTTTTATTTAGCTAAAAACACCTCTCAGGGGCCTGCTTGGAGTTTTGCATTGCGAGTGCTATTTACAAGTTTTGAATGAGATTCACTGAGTTCTAATTTTTGTGTGTGAATCAGGCTTGTGAACAGGTTTTTCACAGCAGCCAGATTTTGGGATATTAGTTAGGTAAACAAAAACGGTTGGCAAATGCAATTCAGATTCATAATTTTACAAGGGTTGGAAATTCTAATTTGGAAAACATTTTGGCATGTCGGATTGTTCTGAGGTCATCCGTTACATTTAGAATCCCCCACAAAGCGTCTTTAGCCTTTATATTGGTTACAAAGACTGGTTTGGATCATGTATCTCGGAAATATATAATGTACATGGTTTGGCTTTGAATAATCTATTATCAGCATATGTGCATTTTTCCCCAGACCTTTGTCAGCATATGTGTTTTTTTTCCTAAAGATTATTAAAAATGACAAATTTCATTTTTAATATTCATTATTATATAAGGAACTTTGTATCACACATAATCTTAGGGACATTTATACTAAAACAAGATGAAGGCTTTTTAGTAGAGATGTGTATGCATAAATTAATCCAGTTTGAAGACCAGCTGTGAAAGTGCTGACTGACTTTTGCCTAGTGCAGGGTATGAGGTTTTTCCACAGCCTTTGAGCTGTAGGAAAGAAACAGTGTTTCAAGGTTTATCTAGTTTTGACTCTGAAAGAAGACCAGAGTTCAAGGAGCACAACAGATTTACAGTATAGGTGTGTAGAAAGGTAAACATCACTGAAATAGATAAAAGACAAGGAAATCCAAATTATTAAAGGTGAGCACCAGGGTAAGGACTTTAAAACTGCAGAAACACGCTCATGAATTTTAGTTTTATTCAATATTCAAGCAGCGGAGTTGCTTGTAAAGAACTTTAGATTTATCACAAGAGCATTTCTCAAAACATATGTTTTGTATTTTTCTAACAAATTGTATCCTTCGTATAACTGTTAGCAGATTTCCATCAGAGCTGTCATTTTCAAACCACTGTAAAATCTGTCCTTCTTAAATGTCTCGTTTGCTGCCTTAAAGGGAGAAAAAAATTGTTGGATGTATATCAGCTGAACATGTGAAACTTGTAGGTAATTTTATGCTTAGAGAGGAAGTTACAATATTAATGTGAAAGACTCTAAATAGAGTTGCAGTTATTTGCAGTCATCATATCTATTCTTGGGTTACATAGACTTATAAATGAAAAATAAAAAATGAAAAACGCACATTTGTTGCAATGTTTTAATTAGTTATAATGAATTTAAAATAATGTGATGGGATAATTAGTTTTGAATATTTCATTAATAGATGAATCCCAAAATGTAACATGAAAATCCAGTCCTCTGTGGTGGTCATCTTTGTAATTCACTGGTATGAATGTCAGGAAATATTAAT